ATCAAAATATCGAATGAAGTCTACTAAAGTAGAAAATTAGATACTTCAAAACTTAAAAAACGGTTAGACCTAAGTATAGGATCGATACATGAAATATATTAAGAATTATGCATATATTTCAAAAATGTATTAATATACTGAACGTTACATTCAAAATAAGCAAGTTGGTCTCTTCTTCCAGTACTTCCGGAAGTTCCATTATTTTGAGAATATTTTAGCCGAATTCCTCAAATCAGTTGTGCCATAACTTCAAGTTTTCATATTTGTCTAACGTCAACTTTACGAGTAATCAGTCGCTGCAGTTCTACGTGAGAGACCCTGTATACAATCTATATTTAACGAATAATATTCTGCGTCATTGGGCTTACTGGTCTGACACATATTGTGTAAACAAACTAAGCCTCAAAATTCAGGGCATAACTGTACCTATGCCCCTTCATTCGCCTATGTCTCATTTGGATCAGAATAACTACCAAAAAATCTTTCAATTGGCTTCGGATATTTAATGTTGAAAGCTTATAAACATTACGTAAAATATTAAATTTCATACAGTTTAAAGGTACATATATCAACATTTTTTGAGTAAAGGTGAAATGACAGAGAAATAAAAAGTCGACTGTAAAAAAATGTCAATCTAAAACACTAGCGACTAGTCTCAAAGCAATGCTGCTATTTTCTACACACTGTATCGTAACTTCTAAAAATTATACAGGGTGTACTGAAAGTTGCGACTTTCTTTTTCAGAAGCAACGACGCTTGAAATAGAGCTAATGTGTGGTGAAACGGAAAAAAATAAAAAAAAAAACAAATGAAAAAGTACTCGTCGTTCATTTCAAGTACTGTTCTGTGACCTATAAGTACTGTTCGAAGTTGTCGTCGTTGGTAAAATGTTTCGTAAACAGTCTATGTATTGTAAACCGTCCTCCGATTCGGAAAAATAAAAGGTCGAATGAGCATACGCTTTACCATGCCAGCCCAAATTTTCAAAGAAAATGTAACCGAAGGATTACGTGAGGACCAGTACCACACATGAGTATTTCGGAAGTTATTCACGCATGAAGGTTAATTCGTCAGTAACCAATCTTGACTGGGACAACCACTCACAAAAGAGCTTTCTTGCAGGAAAATCCTCTACTTGGAGGGCTTCTACAAAAGGGTACAATCCACCATCACGCAGCGTTTACCACACTTTTAGTTTTGTAGACTTGCACGTGTCTAGCCATCTTCCTAGTGCTTGTTGAGCGATTTTCTTCTACAAGATTAAATTTCTTCCATTTTGCACCATTCGGGAGTGTCTACGTCTTCCACTGTATTCATCTTGACATTCCTGCGAAACGGCCTGCGAAATCGATCTGCCTACACTCGCGCAGCTTTCGTAGCATTGTGAAAGCACCATAAATTAAAATCATGTCTTACAAGTCGATATTGGTTCACGAGTGTGCCATTTTTTTTGACCGATTGGTAAATAAATGCTTTGTTCACCTATGCTGTCGGCGTCTGTGTTAACTACTGACGTACCTCGTGTCTTCCAAACTTTTGATCTGATACAGGGCCGAATTAAGTTTGGTTTAGTTTTGATTAATTGTGCAGTTATCTTCGGTATATATGCTAGTAAGAAAAACCGCTTATTTTTTAAGATCTATACGCCTTGTAAAGGAAAGTCACAACTTTGCGGACACCATGTGTTTTGGAAAGCCTAATCCTGTAACTGCAACAATATATTCCTGTGTGATTTCAGCGAAACGGGCGGTCCTTGAGAAAATCGGTTTTGACGTAATTATACTCCTGTCTATTCGCTACAGTGCTCAAACGTAAAACCTGATTAAGTAAATTTCATTTACATTCTGAGGTTTCTGGGGTCACTGATTTTGTATCTTTCATCAGAACTACTACTGTATTGATGGAGCTGTACTGAAATACTATTTCTCTTGAAAACGGATCACTTTATTGAAGAATAAGTAGTTTCAAGGATGAGGCTATTCAAAAAAATCATTTTTCTGCCACTATTATAAAGAGCGCTGCAATAAAGCAATATTTTTCAGGGCTAGTCCGTTCCTGCCGATCTAAATGAGTGACTTTTTAATACGGACGCTATCGTATGACGCTCTAACTATTTTTTATGCCGTCAAGATTTTGTTGAATTACACAGCGTGGCTCAAAATTTATTTAAATTTCGGATTTAGCGGCGTTCTGTAGGTGAATATATTTTCGTAAGGGAGTCTCAAGGATATTTTTTTAGAAACTTGTATGTATAATGGACAGAACATAGTGGTAACAACGATGTCGTCAGGTCCTTTGATATAAACTACGGGAAATTTTGCAATTTCATGCTACTTAATTCCATTTTTTTATTAGTTTACAATTTTTCTTGACTCCTGACAACACATGAATGCAAACGGTCTTTCCACTGAATTTTTGTGAGCAGTGTATACTACTTACAGTCAAATATAATGAACTAATAAAAATTAATGCAAGCAAAATATTATGATACGTTATGAAAGTGTACCGCGAGATAAACAGAAAATTGGGTAGATAACCTGAAACTGTCGGTTTCCAGTCTGTAAAAATAAAAAGACGTTAACCTACATTTACCACTAATTGAAAACACTGAGGTTCAGACATGAGCGACAAAAATATCATTTTCATTGGAATACATTGGGCTTGGTTGTGTGCGATTTATAATTTCGACTTCGTTCCTTGAAGTTGTACTTTCCCAAACTGATAGTGATTTTCGATTTTTTGTATTACATTCTGTATCTCAGTGAGTCGATGGTCGATGCGTGTCACTTACAGTCCAGTTTTAATATGTAGACATGTGTCGATAATCCCCCCCCAAAAAAAAACACCGTATGAAGCGACTTAACCGAAACGAAGTAATTTGGCGGATAAGGAAAAGTTGGCTGGTAGCATGGCCAGCTAAACCACATGTATTCACCTAATCTCCTTTACTTTAAAAGTTTCAATCACGAAAGTGATCTTTTTGAAACGCGAAAAGTTGTACTTCGACATCTAAGGGCAACCATGTTGTCCTGAGAGAAAATAATAAATCAGTTTGACCTTGAGATGGCAAAGCAATTATCTCCACGTTTGAGATTCAACAAAAACCCACATGAAAAAACCTGGATTAAAAACTCATGGCCAATTAGTTAGTGTGGAGATTTTAAATTTTTTAAATATTTTTTTTCAAGAATATTCAACCAAATTAGCACACAGTCCTTAGAAGACAATTGACGTTTAATTTTATATAGGCTGATTCCTTTACCTTCCTTTTGTAATTGTTTATGTAGTAGTGAGACTTCCTCCCGTTTTACTCTATGTCCTGTTTTCCATACTGTCTCGCTGTCACAAAACTATCGTAATTATAGCCATCAAGTTACGCAAGTCCAATGGCTCATGAGTGTTACGAAGAATCCATGGCAGCAAGTACCTAGCTGATCTGAATTCCTTCTTTTGTGCCATTCTTTCTCTCTGACTTTGTCTGATATCTGCACAACCAGATGCGACTCACTGATCTTCAAGACCTTAAGCAAGAAAAAACGCCCTACCGACTGATGTGACGAACAATGAGGTGACGGTCAACGATACTTCCAAATTATGAAGCACAGGGATGTGGAAACAATACGTTAGGAATAATGAAAAATGCACATTTTGCAGACATTGATTTAGATGGTCCTGAATGTTAGGGAACTGCATCATTATTCAACGGACATATAAATACACATGGACATTTACATAAGAATTCATTATAAATACCTACACTTAACCAGGTCGAATTGAGTCACTCTAAACTAGCTTGTTTTTATTTTTCACCATGATGGTTTTCTGTCCACTTTTATGTCGCAAATTAATCATGTTTAAGCGATAGTTTGCTTGTTCAAACGAACCAGGTATATGTAATTAAAGAATTTCACAGCCAAGGTTAATTATGTTGTAGCTGAAGATAGTGTCCAATTAAACGTTTATAATCTAGTTTCCAGATAAAGTGAGGATTCGACGTGCCTAATTTATGTACATCTTTTATTACTAACACTGAGTTTTAATTGTGTGTGGTGTTGACAAAGATACGAACTTTGATGACATGATTACAATATTAAATAGGTATTGAATTTAATGTTTCAATTAGCAGGTTTCTGATAAAATACATATATTGATATGTTAAGTAATGCAAATTCGCAAGTTACGGTTATCCGGCATATTTCTTTCAGGATATTATAGAAGAGCTGTAATGGAACATATTTCACTATGTTATATAGTAACGAGGAAAAAAATAGTATTCGAGTTTTTTCAGTTTTTACGATTTTCTAACATTAAACCGAAAGTGGACAGTTGAGCTAAATAAGAAAAAATCCACAAAAAGGCGTTACAATTCACTCAGTTTTCATTGTTTACACTGAAATTAAGCTAGCTAGTACAATGATTGAGAGTGCAAAAATACCACTCGCGCTGAAAAATAGTTATCCCGAAGAAAAAACAGAATAGAACAAAATTGTGTCCAAAAATTACAATGAAATTACAGAGAAATACTTTCCCGTATCTTCAGCTTTTTAACAAGGTGTTACACATCAATATGAAGACATTCAACTTTGAAGAAATACTAATTTAAGAGATGCCTTGTTATTCTGCTACATTTGCAATATGGCATAGAAGCTGTTCTAGTATACCAAACCTCTAGGTATAAAGTTGTTTAAATTCTGACAAATTCACGTGTCTTCAATATGTATCTCTAAAATAGTGCATTTTAGCGATGCTTATGATTGAAATAAGTCGGTGGCATTTTTACAGTTTTTCAGCAAAGACGTCGCCGATAAGGTTTACCGAAAATATTGTTAACACTTTTTCGATTGCAGAATTTCTTCCACTTTGATACTACGCCAGGCAGTAATCAAACCCCTAAAATTCACTAGACTAGAACAATACGACATGTTACAGAACGATTAAATTAAATTTGTTTCCAGTGCTTGGAAGTGGCACTTTTTCATCGACTGTGCTTTTTGTTTCAGTGAAGTGATATATACAGGCCCCAAAAAGGTGACGATCACAGTGAAAGAAACGAAGACAGAAACTGGATTTCCAGGCGAAACGGAATTGATATCGTCTCAAGTAACCACCACACATGCTCCTGCCGCGTCTACTGCTACGAGGGAACTGGATGACTTGATGGCAAGCTTGTCAAACATTAAGGTTAGTGTTCGGCATGATGTTAGCCAAGTATCTCAGCTGATATATTTTCTAAATGGACTAAACACTCTCTACTATGTTATATACTTTTTAAAAAGATATGTCACAACAACATACCAAAAAATGAACAGGAGGTTAAGATTCTGAAATATTCTTGAGTTTTATTATTTTGCTGTACTGCAAGGTGTATTAACATGCGATCAAATTAATCAGCTGTATGAATTTTCACGACTTTACATATGTATATACCGGGTGTTTCAAATTCGACTCTCACCATTGACATCTCGGAAACTAAGGTAACTAAAACAATGACACTTTTTCTCAATTCAGAGTGTTTTCGGAGTTATGCAAAATGCCGGTTGAAAAGTTTCGAAATTCAAAGTATCGTATGTCCTAAAAGTTTTGGCACAAAATGCTTATCGAATTTTTTTTGATGAAGAAATTTATTTAAACACTAACTAGTTATCATAAATTACAAGTCAATACTTAACTAAACTATACAATCGAATTATGTGGAGTGGTCCATTGTGCTCTACCAGACGCAACTTTCTTCGAATGTCTCTCATGAGGTCCTGGACGGAATTCACATCAGTTACTCTCAGTTTTTCGTAAGTTTACCGTCTTTATTGTTCTTCATCTTGGGCTTTCCAGCCTTCATGATAAACCTCCCTAGACAGTAAGGCCCAAAAGTCCTCTATTGGGCGAGCCTGCGGCAAGCTTGGAGGATTATCGATTTTTGAAACAAAATGTATTTTGTGTTGTCGAAGCCAGTTTTGGATACGTCTTGAGTAATGGCATGTTGCTAGGTCTGGCCAAAACATCAAATGGTCATTGGCATGAGATTCGTGGACAAACTGAAGCAATGTGGAGAGGCAGTGATCAGTATAGCTTTGACTATTCAAAGCTTCACCCCTCACTCTTCCCATAAAAGGTTGGGGTATACCCCTGTTAGAAATTGCGCATCAGACAAGGATTTCATCTGCAAATTTCGCTTTATGTTTGTATCTAACATTATTAGGGCATTCCTCTACGTTATCCGTATAAAATCCATCTTTTTCCTTCATTTCAGAATTACTCAAAGTGAAATACTTTTCTTCATCTAAAATAATGATTTTTCCATTCGCAAAGTGTACCCGCCTCAGCATCTTGGTATACGAAGGAGTTGCGCTTGAGAGTATTTGGGTACCCGCCCAACCAACTTGTGGATACATTTTCTAATTTATACGACATGTTTTTTCTGAGTTTATTTGGCGCGGGCTTTCAAAATAAATGCAAATCAACACTGCCATTTTCCATCTCGACAAGGTGGCATAATTATAATTTTTATATGACTTTTCGTCTCTTATCTTCTATCATAAAATTTATTTTTTCTATTATCTCCGAAATACTCTCAATTGTGAAACTTTATAAGTGATATTTTCTCAGTCACCTAAATGTACAACTTTGCCAGCGCTAAACCGACTTCGTATATCTTTCGTTTTCGAGATCATAGTGGTGAAAGTCGAATTCGAAACTCAGGGTCTATATGAAAACAAGAAGTATATGATTATCTTTGCTTGGGCTACATATATTATTTATTTCTAATACTTGTATACGCTCTGTCGATTCTTTTAAGAATATCGACTCTTATGGAATTACTATCTTCGGCTTTATCCTGATGAACAGTGCTGAATAATCAAGATACTGCGAGTATTAATAACTTTTAATTTGTAAAACATTATTCCGACCGCACTGTTGAACACAGGGTATTTTTTATTTTATCCAACAAATCATTTCGATAAGTTCGCGTGTATGCTCGACCGCAAAAAAGTTACACATTCAACAGAAAACTTTTCTAAATGGATATTAAGAAAATTTTAGCAAATATAAAAAAATAGTATACTAGAGGTTGGTTTTTAGCATAACTTAGTTTCAGTTCTAATCTAAAAGTACGCACAGGCATTGATACCGGTGCTGGCTAACAATTTTATGTGTACTAATGTATATTTTTTTGATAAGCATAGTTTTGGGATAAACTTGGTAGGAATGTTTAGCTTAACTTGTTATTTGACATAGCTAAATGTATTCACATATAAACATCTACACACTTGTGTACATATTGAGTAATATTTCTCTACATGGTACATTTGTAATTGACAGTTTTGTAGATGCGAGTGTTTAAATATTTAAGAAAGCGAACACAAATTAACAGTGCTTGAACCTTAAATTTGCAACGTAATCATTAAAAAATAACTTTTGAATCAATTATAGCTTTGGTTGAAACGTATGTAAAAAGACTAAATTTGATAGCACTTTAACATGATACATTTAAACTCGATGTCGATCAATGTATTTGAGGAGTTTGATGGCGGCTACTATGTAGCGAGATTGCTTCTGGCTTGATCGCGCAAACCTCAAGCTCTCAATCTCAAGCGATAGTAGCCAGGTGGTCAGGCAAGGCTTGCCAAATTGTCTCTAATATCAAACATTTAGTGTGCTATCAAGACTGTTATAAAAGCGAAAACCAACAGATTTGGCAAGGCATAGGTCATAAAATGTGTGTATATGAAAATAATACAGTGGACAAGTTGTTTTATGCCTCAGTTGTGGTCCACAACCGAAACCTTAAAGTACTTTGAAATATTGTCTTATATAAATAAAAACCGTTTTGTTTTCGCGTTATCAAACCTAATGTTAAAACTTGTAGATCACATACATATTGATCGTATTTTATTTGTAATTTATTTTTTTGTGATCCAATTGCAGCTATTACTTTTTACAAGTATAGTTTGGCCAATTTTAACGCCCTATTGAGCCGCAGTTGCAATATCTGTTTTCACATTGATTAAATCATTCTGATCCGAAAATATTGCTATGTAATTTAAGTTTAGATAGTATATCAGAGCATTTGCAACAATTCATTCAATTCCTGTGAAAACTGCAGATGCATACAACTTTTTCTGTTCCCTTATACAGTGTTTTCAAGAAGAGAGAGGCCATGAATTGTAGGCGAGCTTCGTATTTGTTGGAAGTAAAAGCAGAATAACAACATATCAAAAATATTTTAGAGATATGGGATTTTATTAGTAGCATGTGATATTTATTATATGTAAAAGGACTAAAAAATACTGCTTTACTGTATTTAATGGTGCCCTCCTAGCGTTTTTCTCTTTATCTTTTCGCAATGAATCAAACAGGTGGGTGTTTTGTCGCCTAAAAACCTACGAACTTCCAAAACTAAAACTTCTCAAACCACCTTATAATTATTTGTGACATAATTCCGAAACCCGCTATCCCGAAATAACTGGCAGTAACTATTCATCTGCACGTAGCGCCACTCGTTTTTGCTATACGAGACACCGTGCGCAAGACAGAGACGGATATATATGAGCGGGTCGATCATTTTGGAGGTTATGTTGTGGTGGGGGAGCCGCTTAACATCATCCAGAATCCTAACAGGCACACCGCAGTTGCCAACCGTCTACGCGTCTTGCCACAGGTTTGTCTGATGATATTCAGCGGAAAAATCGTCGCGAGATTTTCTTTCACATTTTTCAAACACGTCTAATTGTGTTATTCTCGGGTGTAGTAGATAGAAAATTTCACGGCGCTTTTATAAAATTTCTACAATAACCATTGACATCCGCACTTAAATAATCTTTCTGAAATTTTATCTGCCTTACATTGGACGGAATAATAATAAAAAGTACAACTAGATGAAAAAACTTATTCTGTCTCATTTCGGTTAATTTTCCAGTTACTTCGACGAAATCTAAACCATTAGTCTAACCACCATCGAACTTTGATATGTATTAATGATTCGTTATTTTTATTATTCCACAATGATTTTTATTTTGAAATGCGGATAGTGCATTCTATAAGGAAGTGTTTTATTTGTGAGGCTCAAATCATCAAGAAAATGTACCGCATTTTCTAAACCACTTGATTTGATTTTGTTTTTAGGTGAACCAGAGCTTGCAACATCACCAAGTTTCAGACCAGCAGTACGCGCGGCCTATCAAAGCCACTCAGAGCCAACCACCAGCTGCTCCTCCAAAACAGAATTTAGATTCTATGCTTGGAAATCTCCAGGCAGACATGAGCAGACAAGGAGTTAACACCAGCCAAAAGGGATGTTGCAGTGCCTGCGACAAACCTATCGTGGGCCAGGTTATCACAGCCTTGGGCAAGACGTGGCATCCTGAGCACTTTACCTGTGCTCACTGCTCCCAGGAGCTGGGCACCAGGAACTTCTTCGAGAGGGACGGAAAACCATACTGCGAACCTGACTACCATAACCTGTTCAGCCCTAGATGCGCTTACTGTAACGGACCTATTTTAGACGTATGTCCCATAAAACCATCTAAGACGCTCAGAAGGATTATATTTTTGGGCTTAGTGAAAATATGTTTCATATTTCTTGTTATCATGTCATCTTAACATGAAAAATTACAATAATGGGGGTTCAAAAATTTGGTTTAGTGTAGTGTAAAGTAGCGCGAATTTTGAGTGATAACTGGAGAACAAGTCTGATTTTAATAATCTGAACATTAATTTTTCAGGATTCCAGGTTGCATTGAGTATTGGATGAAGAGACAAACTGATCGTGCATTCTTTAGGGTTACTCAAAACTATGTCTTTTGTGTGCCACCTGTTAACGTGGATATCAGAATAGTCAGTCGATGCCTACAAAAAAGTATATCATTCTTTAAGATTCTATTTCATATTCTAAAACAAATATTATAAAAAATGATGAAACATTAGTTGCAAGTAAACACATTTCATTTTACAGTTTCTATTTTCGTATGAGCGATTTTGAAACTCTCTGAAAAAACATGTTCGGAACGAGGGCTTTAAAGATAAAAATAAGCTCCCAAACTGTTTATAGGAGATTCAAATTACGCTTTGCTATTTTTACATCAGACTGCTCGTTTATAAACCATATGTCTTGCATCTCGTTTATCTGAATAGTGAATTTGCTGATCCTATTCTTTTTTCTTTCAGTTCAAAACTAACGCTGACATAATTATCCAAGGCTGTTCAGAACATCATTAACATCTGCAAAATTATCCCGCGTAAATATTGATTTGTTACAACTTTTTGGCGATGAAATGTAACTACAGATTTCTAATATTGTGGACGTCAGTCAAGTCTCATCTTATTTTCTGCTAAGCAATAAATTCGGTAATTCCGTTACATCTGAATATCTTGACCTTTAGCGGTAGCCTAACTTGCTTTTTGGCGAAGTTCATTGTCATCCAATACTCAGGGACTTGGGTAAATCTCAAATCAAAAACATTTGCAAATCTTTGTTTCAGAAATGCGTAACCGCCCTTGAGAAGACCTGGCATATGGATCACTTCTTCTGTGCTCAATGTGGCAAGCAGTTTGGAGAGGAAGGTTTCCATGAACGCGATGGCAAGCCGTACTGCAGGGATGACTACTTTGATATGTTTGCTCCCAAGTGCGGTGCTTGCAATCGTGCTATCATGGAAAACTATATTTCAGCTCTTAACTCGCAGTGGCATCCAGACTGCTTTGTCTGCAGGGTAGGTATCGTAAGTGCAAGGCATTACCTAACGAAAGCTCCGCCCATTCTCTTTGATCCCCACCTTTTTTCCTTATTGTCTACTCCTTTCTTTCCTTATCAATGTTTCGTTCCTAGGTTACCAAACTTGACAGACTCACCAACAAATACTATGACCATAATGACTTGACAAATAATTATGACACATTCATGGTACGTTACTATATTATGACATATACAGTGTAGGTACTCACGTTATCAAGAACGTTTAGCGCCTTCAAAATGCTGCGCAGGTATGGCATTATTGATTTCTCTGACAATCAACAACAATCCAAATTTTCTTATACTTGTTTTCAAAAGAAAGCGTTAATCGTTTTTGAGAACATAAATACCTGCGCTGCTGTAAAAAATAACATATTTTGGAATTTGTAAACCATATTGAGGTTTCATACCTAAATTATGGAATTAATTTTCTCTTGTAGTTAGTTTCTTTAGTACTTGGACTGGCATCATTTACGATGATTTGTATTATATAGTATGTTGTTTATTATCATATACTACTATTTTTTTTTGTGCGACGTAAATTTTAAGTATAAACAAAATAAGTCGATCAAAATCATGTATTTATGAGGTGGAAATTGACTAAATTAATGACATGGCCATACTTACATCTTTTGAAAAGAACATTTGCAACTTTTTATATAGAATTTATTGATAATTACTGAAAGTATACTTGAAAATGGAATCCACTGCCTTTCTAAGATATCAAGTGAATTAAAACAGGTTGAAATCAATCTAGGAAATAAATATGTGGTTCAAGTTTAAGTATACCCCTGAACATGTCTTGATGTTATGAACAGGATTGCAAGAACCCAGTACAAGGGAAATCATTTTACGCTGTGGAAGGCAAGCCAGTATGCCCGGGATGTATTGGAGCGGAAGAAGAAGAGGACGAATAATATGCCCGTGATATGCCCCTTATGCCCGGAGAAAGATATGTCTCTAGTCATGCCCACAAAATATGCCCCTATGCCCCATATGACTTAATATTTAAGTATATTATATATTTGTATAATAAAGGTTGATAATAAAAAATAGAAAAGAACTAAAAAAGGAAAATAAAAATAAAAAGAAAGAATGAAGAGATCACAAGCCGGAATATGCGCCGTCTGTGATAGTCACGGCCGTGAAGTTGTGTTCATAATAAGTGGCATAATTTCTTGTAGTTTATTTCGAGCAACAGGCTAATATTAGCATGGTAGTATTTAACGGAAAATACAGCGGCTGAAAATGACTTGTGGTCTCCTTCTCTTCTAAAAACACGAAAATAGCTAGTCAGAACAGCATACGTGCCGTCGCTGCCCGAAGTGTGCGCGCGGTTCGTTCGTGTTACTGGCGTGTGCATATTTTTATTTTTAATTGTCTCGCTGTGATTTATGACCAGTTTGAGATAGCAGGAGTAATGGATGCACACAGGGTGGCCGTACTGAGCTGTTGAGAGATAACTTATGTCAGATCATGTCACTTAATCGTCATTAAGTCACCTTTATCTTCTATCCTATAATGTTACAGGACCAAAATAATTTTGATGCAATTCCCAGCTGCTTTCGGCTTATTTCCCTATTAGTTGTCCTGAGATATGCCCCAGTTGTGTGATATCTGTTGAAGTCTCGTCCAAAAATTTTCTGTAGCTCGCAATCCTTTGGACCATCCTGACTTCTTTCTTGGTACATCAAGTAAATTACCCTTGTATTGTTTAGAGCAGGTCAGTCGAAGGTAACATGCTTGGAAGTATTTTGTGCCTTATTGTATCTTTTTATACGGGATTGATGTACTGAACTCTGTAAGTATCCTGTGAGTAACCGGTGGTTAGTCAAAAATCCAACCACAATTAGTAGATGTTTTCTGTGAGTAAGGTTGAAATCTTAGTGCTTCTGTTGTTCTTGTACAGGGTGTCGAGTGGGATAGTTCACTTTTTGATTTAAGAAAACAATACAAACTTAATGAAAACAAAATATTTATTTTTATCAAGATATTCATAAATTCGGAGGGTTTTATTTCTTAAATATCATTCGGTCCAAATATTAGCCATTCCTTCGGACACACTCTTCTAATCGCGCGCGCAAATTCTGAAAGTCTCTTGCAGAGTTCCGGAATTGTTTATTTTTCGTCGAATGTTGTCTTTACGCTCCTCCAGTGTTCGTGGATTATTGGAGTACACTTTTGACTTTAGATAACCCAACAAAAAATAATCGAATGGCGTGAGGTCGGGTGACCTAGGAGGCCAGTGAATGTCTTCAAACTTTGATATAAGTGTTTCTGTTGGAACCATGTATTTCTGTTAAATAGACGTTCTGTTCTTACAATAGGAGCAAAAAGTGTCAATCATGTTCTTGTATCGCTCGGAATCGACTGTCAATGCACGACCGTTTTCATCTTCAAAGAAATACGGCCCAATAATACTAGCGGTCTAGCGGAGGATATGGCGCACCAAACAGTCACCATTGGAGTTTGTAGCTGTTGTTAATATTTCTCTTTTGGATTCGTTGGTGCCCAATTTCTGCAATTTTGCTTGTTCAAATAATCGTCTAAGGGCCTCGAGTCTGCGCTGTGTGTGAAAAAGATTCAACATCCGTTCAGCACAAGATTTCCGTTATACGTAATCACTTTTCTTTAAAGTATGGACTGATTGAATTTTATAAGGATGAAACCCCATTTTTTTCTTCTTTATGCCGTGCACATTTTCTTCGGTTGATACAGTAGGTGTGGGGCCAGGAATGGGTTGACTAAGAGTAGAGCCTGTTTCACGGAACCTCTTAATCCACTTTTTCAATAGGTTCTTACTTGGGGCATCTCTTGGTCGGCGAATGTTGTATCGTATAGAAAATTCACCACTCTTAAAGTATGCCTCGATAGCGAAATATAACTTCAAAAACAAAAAATACAAACAAATATGATTAGATACAGTTACTTTGACTTCCTTAATTAACACATGTGTATGCCTCAATAACAGTTGTCAGCGAGGTATTCATTAACACTGTAGTACGCTAAACTAATATTTGGACTTATAAATCCCTTGACCTCACTTCTATATGCTTTATTATCTTTGGAGCGCTTACAATGCTTTCACCTCCTGTGCTCTCAATCAACTCATCTTGTTTTCGGTTCTCTGATGGTCGCACCATTTCCTCTACATTCTGGATACCTTCAGACGTATTACCATTTGGCCAGATTTGGTTGGCTCTTCAGCCCTTCTGAGTTCTGTACCGTATATCTCAATCTTTTCTTCCGAAACATCAATAGTACTAAGCATACTTCTCTTTATACTCATTCATCAGTACTTTTATTCAAGTTCTTGATATCTTGAGAATACATTCATATTTTACTTTGCAACTGTCAGTCCTTTGTTCCAATTTATCTAACTCAACGTACAGTTTAGATATAGTTTTTTTTATTTCATCAACATATGTGGCTTCGTTCTCCACTGCTTCTTCCTCAAATTCACGCATCCCTTTCTTCGATTTATCTATGTGTCTTTTTTTAAATTTCGTATAGCTGTACTCAGTTTAAAGATTTCAGCTTCGCAAATTGTTACTATATTTTAAATCTCCTGTGTTTGTTAAAGCAGCAGCTCCAACTCGACATTTTTCACTTTTAGCTGCTCTAGGTGGTTGGTTTACTGATCTGTCCTTTTTCACACGTTTCAGATCAATATTTTGAAGCCATCAATGTCCTGAAACATTTTGATTCTGGATGCACAACCACCATGAAATATGCTAAAGCATTCTACTCAACAATAGAAGCTAAACGTTTTACCAAAAGTTTTGCCGCAACATTTAAATTTGTTTTCCTTCTTTGTCCAGTCTCCTACTCACTAGAAATCTACTGATGTTTATATCTCTAACTCAAAATCCTACTCTAGGCCGCTGGATCATACGTTTTGTTTATGTTACGTGTTGAGGTTATAAATTCACTTTTTACATCTTGGGAATGGAACATTATTTCCAATTTGGTCCCAAATTGTAGACACTGGTACTTTGATAGATGGTCAGAGTTTCATGAAATACACTATGAAATTATTAACTAGATATCACACAAACGTCTATCTCTGTGTACCGTACGATTTGGATATGGTGTTATCTAGATTGTTAAATTTTTTTTATCATACTGTCCATTATCCTTCCAGGACTGCCGCGAGCCGTTCATAGGCGGCTCCTTTTTCGACCATGAAGGCCAACCTTACTGCGAGACCCACTACCACCTGAAACGAGGCTCACTGTGCGCCGGTTGCCACAAACCCATTTCCGGACGATGCGTCACTGCCATGTTCCGGAAGTTCCATCCAGAACACTTCGTTTGCGCTTTTTGCTTAAAGCAACTCAACAAAGGCACGTTTAAAGAGCAGAACGACAAACCTTACTGTCATGCTTGTTTCGAGAAGCTTTTCGGCTAAATGTTGTTTTTTGGTTAAACATATGAAGATCATGTTATTTCACTAGGCACACCGTCAGACATGATGTGATACAAACTATTGCTGGAGAAATAGCGGTACGGTTCGATGGATGACGTGCGTTCCGTAACTAGTAACATAACTTGTATATGCAGTCATTTTTATTTTCTAAGATTAAGAACAGCGACTACGAGATTGTCTGGTATAGGTCTTGTTACCATTTTTTGGCGGTTATATATCATTGTCATATGAAATAACTAAGCTGATCGACTAACTGTATTATGGGCGGAGCTTAATTTTCTTATTAAGCGGAAAATGTACACTGCGCAAATCGATCTTCAATACACACATAAAGTGGGAAATGGAAAACTTCAATTACCTGGAAATACTTCAATAAATTTTGCACAAACTGTCGACATTATCCACTAATTGTATTTCCAGCATTTCAGTACGGATATTTTCAATCGAGTGTAAACACAAATCTCGAGCACATGACCAGTGAACCACACTGGTAGTGACCAGCATGACTGTAGAACCCTCATACTTAACGAGAAAATTATAGAGGCGGTGAGTCAAAACTAGGAAACTTATGTCTATCAGCTTATACAAACGGACGGTAGATTTCATGTATGTATGTGAGGGAGACGTTGGCATGAAAGTGATACCGGCTGTTTTACTGTGACCTACCAAAATCGGTGAAAAGACCTATACGTGATAATTTGGACTGACAGGTAACTCGAAGATATCTGCTTCCAGTTTTGTTCATCACATTCATACTAGCAGGTGATACATTTTTGACCAATCATTTAGGTGAGCTCATACAAGCGACTTTTGTCTTCGAATTCTTTACTGGTTTTGCGAATATTGACAGCGCTGATAAAAATGTCACTAGGAAGTGACTGTGACAAAAGTTACTTGTCTGCTCTACAGAAAACAGTCTATTTTTGGACCTAACGCAACAGAATAATTGTGGAAAATATGTGATATATCTTTGGACGTTTCAGTTCGATCCTAAGTGCATTCAACGTTTCTGGTGAATTGATTTATCTTTTGTAGAACGACTAGTTACAGTGGCGTAGCTACCTTGGGTGGCACCCGGTGCGGAAGTTGGTGGTGCCACCCCATCGAAAGTCAAAAGCGATAAATTTTATATGATTTATAAATGTCATGGATCATTTAATATTTATATTTAAAATATTGAACATATAACAAAACACAATAAAAACTAAGACAGAAAAAATATTTTTGTCTTACAATTAAAATATTTTCTTTCTAGCTTTGATAGCTGCAAACTCAGAAATAACTAACCAAGATTGCTGAGCCGCGATTGGGTCATTGTTGCCCGCAAATAGTTTTTTTATTGATTGTAGTTTACTGAAACTCCTTTCACATGAAGCTACGGATACGCAAACCGACATGAACAATTTTGGTGCAATCTCAAGATTTGGAAGAGATTCTGTAAAATCCTATTCTACAATAGAATTTAAAAAAATCTAGAGATACCGAATCAAAAACTGTAATATTAGCGGCTTTTAAGTGTCTTCGCAGTCTTGGTATCACCAAAAGTAATTCTGTTTCTGAGACCTCGTCATAAAAATCAGTAAAAAATGTTGATGTAACTAATTTCACTTCTTCAGTATTCGCCAAAAGCAAAGTATTTGTTTGTACGATCTCAAACAATGAAGCTAGGTCTTGAAGAGACTTCGATCTTGTCTGGAGTTCAACTCTGAAAAAGTTGAGTCACCGAGTGGGTGTCACCCCAAAAAAGGTGACACCCGGTGCGGCCCGCCTCCGCCTCCCCCCCTTGCTACGCCACTGACTAGTTATCTATATTATTCCAAATGAAAACCATTAATTCTTCAGACACCTATATTCCGTTTACCTACGTGGTAACGAGCTGTTGCGCACAAGGAATATTCTTGGCTTGTGAGATGAGCTTTTATATTGAGAACCTAAAGTAGAAATAACTTGATAAAACATCGTATATGACCTGTCAGTAATACTAAAATATAAAATCATTATACAAAATTTGTCTTGACATGATTGACTTGAATAAATGAGTCTTCTCGTTTAAATGTAGGAAAAAAGATCCCCAAATTCTTCGAAGATATCACTCCTTTAAAATTGACACCTGAGCCTAAAATAATAAAACAACGCAGATGATTAGTCCAGAAAATGTTCTCAGGTTCTACATACAAAGTAGTATATCCACATAATTTTTGTTAAATGAGGTATATTATTGCGTTAAATAAAATTACCTTTTGGCTGAGTTTCAGTAGAAGTTTTATGTTTGTACAACTGTATTAGCATGTTTAATAATACGACCGTATATCATGAATACAAGGAAAGTTATCACCCAGAGATGGTGATGAGAACAATTTTCTCGTCCACAGTGGATTGTATTAATTTGCTTCGAGAAGTAAAATAAACCCAATGGGGTACCCGTTTATTAGCAACGAGTTGAGTGTGTGTTTATTTTTTGTTTTCAAACCACCCGCAAAAATTACCTTGTTAGATCTGATTGTGGAGGTGTGCCGCCGTCACCCCTCCAAACGTTTAGGCTCATAAACGCTTCTAAGAAATACAGACAATCCAACTGCAGTAACTGAAAAGAATGAAGAATCAATTGAGCTATCAAGATAAATCTAAATGACAAAATCCATCAAGCTGTTTGTTTATACAACTTTAGTATACCCAGTGTCACTGACAAGACAAATCTAGAGACAACTCATATGTCAAAACCATCAAGCAGTTTAAGCTGTAGCCTGTGAAATAGGAATTCAGTGTTGTAATTTTTTATTAAATTGAAGAGCTCTCGATTTTTAATCGTCGGCACCCCCCTTCCCTTGGGATCATCAATGTGCCCACCCTTGAATTTTGCTGTATGGGCGGCTAAGGCAGTACATTTCGTATTTTTCATTGTTACGTTTGGTTCAAATGCAAAATATAAAATTCGTCTTTATTCAAGTGCGTGATAATTAATAGGTATATCACCTTTTTATAAACATGTATGAAGTCATTGATTTATTATTTATAGTAATACTAAAACAGTCGCATTTATTGTTGATATATATTATAATTTTATGCTTATCAATGTGTGTAATACCGCAAGCCATACAGTACGTAGTGAGATACAGTATAAGCCTTATTCACATGTTTTAATTCAATATTTTAAACAAAACTATTTGTATGTATGATTACTTCCCTTTTTTGTTCGTAAAATGTATTTAGTTTTTTACTTATTTTATGATTAAATCTGTGATAAAAGTACTTCCTTGCACAAAATGGCTATACTTATTCAAACTATTGTATCATAATTTCACTTTTATTTTCGTTTTACGATTTTATATTATATTTTACTTGATCGTGTTGTATAGGGTCAGGGTGGCAACAATGAATGTTGCTTGAGATATTGTCGCAAAAAACCTATAAACATTCTAGCTTCAATTTATTTGCAGTTCACTATGGTTCAACTATTTTGATTATATTGTACTATTTAAAAAAAAAACGTGTGATGTTCTCACGGCACTTGTTTTCATTAAAGTTTCCAAGTGATTCGTCATGTACTACATCCTTAAGTAAATAATGGATTACTGAAGTACATATTGCATATGTATTACTTTGTGTATTAAAGGAAAGAGGTTACTGATACCGATATAATGTTTATTGGTACAAAAACAAGAATATTGAACAGTTCATTGAGAATCTCTTGGCCATAACTAGTATCTAAACATATCTTTCTTAACTAGACCAAAACAAAACACATCTTTTAATATTGCACGAACAAAAACAAATTGTGCTGAAATCTTGAATCTAGAAACATCAATATAAACAACTAATATTTTCAAATTATTCATTGAAATAGAGATTAAAGTTATGGGCTTTAAGTAACATAAAAAATTAATTCAGTTAACATTAGGTAGAGATGAATCAAAGGAAAATCTATAAAGGGACTTGTTGCCTTTACACATTGGCCTTGGTAAATTACATTTTATATCATCGACGATGACAAAAAGTATGTTAGACAAACTGGGCATTCGACATTGGTGTTCTTGATGTTATCTGAAAAAACTTTGTCCTTTTCTAGGCGTTACCATTCTCAAAACAAACAATAGTGGATAGCAACACTAAACGAACAGCAAATAGAACTGTCACAAATGTATCGATGATATTGTTTTCTTTCGATACTGTATACAATGGTTCACGATTCATTGTGTACTTACGGTTCACTATTTATACTAGTCCAATAATGAATAAAAACTAATTTGTCATTGGAAATCGCTTAACTGTTTTCCAAAATTTTCTCCACTATGATCTATACACCTTTTCATGCGTTCGAACCATTATTCATAACACATTTTCCGCTCCGCTTGAGATATCTCCAAAACATACTTTATGAACAGCTTCTTCTGCCGACGAAAATCGTCGTCTACGCGATTTATTCTTAACTTACTGGAACAGAAAGATGTCATTGGGTGCCAAGTCGGAATTGTATCGAGGATGACGCATTAAATCAATATTCTGAGGGCTCAAATAGTCCATTGTTTCACGAGAAACGTGAGAGCTCGCATTGTCTTGATGAAGAATTACCCGATGGCGTTTGTTGGTTTTCCTTATTTCACCGAAGACTTTCAGCAAACAAACAGTTGTGTACCATTCAGAATTAACTGTTTTACGTTCCTCTAAAGGTACTGCTGCCACATGACCAGTTTTTTTTCGAAAAAACAGACGACCATTTGTCTCGAAGTGCGTCGTGCGCGATGAACCTTTGTCGGATTTGGCTCGTCTTGCAACACCCATACAGTCGACTACTGTTTCCTTTCCGGCTCATAAGCATAGATCCATGATTCATCACCTGTTACAATCTTACACACGTCTTTTGAAGCACCGACATTGTATTTTTCGAGCATTTGTTTGCACCAATCTCCTCTTTTTGAGCTTCTGTTAAATTATGTGAAATCCAACGAGAACAGACCTTTTTCACAGCTAAATGATCATGTAATATTTTATGTATGCTAGTGGAACTAATGCCTAAGGCTGCCTCAATCTCACAATATGTCACATGACGATCTTGCGTTATTACTTTTTGCACAGCAACAATGTTTTTTGGCACAACAATTTACTTTGGACGTACTTCACGACATCACCAAGAGAGTGGCGGTCACGATTAAATTCGTTATACCATCGTTTAACAGTGGCAAAGTATGGGGCTTCATCACCAAAAGTCGAAGTAAGTTGATCGATGCGTTCCTGCCTTGATAATCCACGTCGAAAGTTGTAATAATCATCATCGCACGAAAATTTTCACGAGTCAAATCTATTTTTTCACTGAGACACAGTTTTCAAATCGCTATCATCATAAATCGTACTGAAATGACAAAACGTTCTGGAGAAGCTTATGTTTAAAAATGTCAAACTTGCAATTGGAAACGTCAGATGGAGCCTAAGCACACTTGATATTATCGAGGCTGAAAATATAAATAGTGACGTTCGTATTAAGACTGATTCATTGTGTACTAAGACATCGTTACCATTTCAAAATGTAACCCAGCCCTACGTCCCACATGCTAGACAAACATAAACTCAATTACTTACATTTTGCAATAGATGCACCAGCACTCAGATATAACAACATGAAAATACGATAGAAAAGAACGAATCTTACCTTAAAATCTTTTTTTTTTTTTTTAATTAAAAACACAAAACACATGGCCTTGTTCGGGTGATTTCGGTTGTCGAGTATTAAAGTCTAGGTTGAGAGAAATAGGGGGTGATCCATTGTACCCGCTTTAGTCATTGTTGCCACCCTGACCATATGCATTTTGTGCTATGTAGTTGTAGATTTTATTATAAATTCACTTGTCAGAACTTGTATAATTACATGGATAAGAAAGAAAATATAAATTACGTATTCTTATCAGGTTGATAAAAATTGTCATACATAATTGAATCCAGTGTGGTCAAATTTTTGCCATGTTGGTCGCATCCAGTAGAGCATATCGCTATTCGAAGGAGTATCAACACTTGCATTACTACGTTTACTCGTACATCTACTACTTTGAGGTGTATGTATGTACGTACTTTTGGTCACAGATATCGCTCGAGTAGCGACGAAACGTTCTGATGAACGCGACAGAAAGTCCAAAAGGGTTTTTGGGCCCAGAGCGGATGACTTGGATAAGTGCTAAATTCTATTGTAAATATATTGTAAATGGCTCAAAAAACACCGTTACCATAAGCCCCCGAAATTGAGGGGTCTCTAAGATAATGCATCTTGGAACTAATGAGTTTGCTAATCAAGTGTTTAATATACGATGAATAAATTGTATGTTATTCGATATTTCCATTTTTTAGGGAATCTATCGTAATGAAACATGTTTTATCACAATAATTGTCATGGAACGGCGGGTGATGATTTTATTCTTTCTTGATACTGTCCATATCCTAAGTTTCATAAGTTTTCGAGTTTTTCTGAAAAGCAATACGATAATTATTTTTTTAATTTGGAGTTTACAATAGTAACCAGAAATTGAGGAAACAATACAGTTCAGGAGGTTTCTATCTGCCTCTGCTGGCGGTTACCGCAGTTTAGATTTATAGACTATAAAATAATTAGTAACCACTAGACATGAATCTCAAGAAACCCAGATCATTACATAGGAAAAAGTGCTATTTAGCCATTTTTTCTTTCTATCTCTGAAACTCATCAATATCTAATGACTAATGATACCAACATCACATTTGGATTCTGCATACCAAAAAGTATAACATACGCCACCGTTTGTGGATACCCGAGGTGGACCCAAAACTGACATCCTTCTTTATTGTTCAACATGGCAATGCCCATAATTTCAATGCAATATTGACTTGAAAAAGGATCGTTTGATTTTCATGAGTAATGTATTAGATATGTGCTATATTGTGAAAGTGTTCAACGGGATCATTTGTTACTTTGCACTTGTTCATATATGCAGATGATTTTAAAAATATTATAAACAGCATTCAAAACTAATGCTTGTGTTGTATGTACTTTTATTAATTCAAAGTTATGATTTGTGGTGTAAGATAATACATGTTAGAAAAATAATGCTTTTTTTAATTTAATCCTAGCAACTCATCCGTATGATTAACGTGTTACTGGATAGATCAAACTAGTCACTACCAAAGCTAAGTATTTCAGTAGAAAGGAGCATATCTGGCTCTAATATTGATACCTGACTCACAGGAACCGGGGTTACGAATGAAAGGGCACTGGAAAAATACAAAAAATGGAGCCCTCTGAATGCCACTGTTGGCAATTGACGACAAAAAAAAAACGTACATACAACATACAAGCTAGGCGATAACAGAGGGTGTACTGTATAATCATAATTCTCAAAATACAAGTTATCCTCGATTTGGGATCCTTATTCTTAATACTTTAGCTTTAGCTAAATATGATGGGTTTGCTCTCTCTCTATAACCTTGACCAACCAAATAATCCGTTATTTCTTGGGACAGTATGGTATAGGTCAAGTCTTGCAATTTGGCACCTACACAACCAACATAGAGGTTGGGTGTATCGCTCAATACTAGCCATAGGTGGCAGCGTCGCGCACTTAATCTGAAACAGTAAGCAAGGTACCTAGGTGAAGTTCAATACCTGCGTAATTGTTTTCGGCGTTGCCTGTCCGACGTAAATATAATAATCATGATACTACCATGATAAATTCGATAAATCTTTGTAATTATCCTAGCGGATTAAATGTATAACGGCATGTCAACTTAGCCATCAATTTTAACGATAGAAATTCAGTTAGAATCAGGCCCCAGGTCAGGCGTACGTATGTATTTATACAGCTTTTCGTGAAATGCAATTTTCAAATTGCCAAAAAGTACCTTAATACTCAAAGTATCTATGTACCTAGGAAACTGAAACTCGAGCACAAAAAAAAAAACAAAAACATGAGACAAATTGGCTCATTCCCATTCAAATAAGTAACGAGAAGTCCTGTTACATTGAGTCATCCTAAAGATATTCTACAGGTTGAACGCCTCTTTCTTTACCATTATACAATTAAATGAATAAAAAGCGTAAAACAAGCAAATAAATTTACAATCAGATAGAATAAGTAACTGACATGATTCATTGGAATACCAAGTTTGTTATATAATTCGACTACTTTGATTTATGCAAATGAAATGCGATTATTGTAGCACTATAAATAAAGATTTGATACAACTTGGGTGTGCCGACCATTAGTAAATTTGCTTTGTCAGGTAAATAGATATTCGCAACTACTGTAGTGAACAATCACAAGAGCAAAGAAAAAAAATTTGATATTTGAAACACTCAGATTTAAATTATCATCAAGTATTGTCTGATTGTGAAAGGTGAGCTCGCAAAAACAACACCACAGCTTAACGCCAGCATCAGCATCCTAACCTGACAGACATTCTTGTCACGAGCCTGGTCAGGTGATCTGTAATGTGCTTCTTTCTACCGATATCTACCGATAATGACTCGCTGGCTGTAATAGCATAAATACTCTCTAAAGGAGTTTCCGGAACGACCTTGTGCCTAAAGTTGCAAAACTTGACCAATTTTGTCGCAGAAAATCTGTTCCAGGGAGTTTGCCGCTGGATGTTCCTGGAGGTAATGGAGTAGCCCTGCCAAGGCAGTCTGACTGTGGGGAGGGGTGAGACAAGAATGTTAAAATTTTGTTAGTTGTTAATTCGCCTTCTTCAATCTGACCAATAAACTTTTGTTTCTTCAAAGTACATACATAGAGTCACAACTGGAAAAACACTTCTTTTTTCGATTTTTGACTTTGAGATCCGTAATCCCACTTATTAGCTAACTGAAAAGAAGTACATAGTCACAAAATGTGAAAATACATTTAAAAATGGAAAAACTACATTGTCCACAACACCTTTTTTCTAATTTTTGACTTTGAGATACGTATTCTCTCTTACTAGTCGACTGAAAAGATGGATCAGAAAGACAAACTCACATTATAATATACAGGGTGACTTCGAAGTTGAGTCATTTATTTTAACAGTGAGTAGATCTGATCAAAAGAAATGTTTTTTTCCTTTACCATTTTTCTGGTAAAATTAAAGTAACAAAGTTATAGCCCTTTGGAAGTTTGAGTACTGCCCTGTCTCAATAATAATATGTTCGTGTTTGGCGACAACGGATATAATCCGCCTGACCGGTTCATCGCATCGGAAACAAAAAAGCGAAAGAATTTGAAACGTTTATCACGATGTTTTTCTTCAGTCGATAACGCGTTAGTGAATATGTAGTAGTGTTTGTTGCGTGGCTCAAACGAAATCAAAAATGGCACATGTTTACGAAAATGCTGAACTTGTGGACATGATTCTTATTTACGGGGGGGCAGTCTTTACAAAATGCTCCCGGATGCATCACGGATTTATGCGAATCGGTTTCCCAATCGATTGCAACCAACCCCTCGTGCCTTTGTTAATGTAGTACAAAGGGCTCGTGAATCAGGTGACTTAAGACCTCACAGGTCAGGGCATGCTGCTCCAAGACCGCACGATCAAATACAGGTCCGCACTGAAATACTTGTCGGGACGATACTTTATTAAACAAGGTAACATTTTTTTTTATTTATTTTTTTATTTTTACACACATATTTTGGATTATCTTCCTTCTACAATCATTATCTGAAAATTAATGACTCAACTTCAAAGTCACCCTGTATATTATAAAGTAGAGAAATGATTGTGTAGACTCATACCTCTACAAAACAATTTATAAGAAAAACATGACGCCTAACAACATTGGTCACTCACAAACTATACAATGTATCAATTAGATTCTTACAAAAGTTTAACGTGTTTTATATATTGTATATGTACTAGGAATCTATATTTGAATTCAATAAGGTATTCGCATTTTGGACCATACAATTTGAACCGTATTGATCAATATCGTGATTGTTCTCAATGTTCTGGAAAGAACTTGTAGAATAGAGAGAGTAAGTTTGGCAACGATGAGCGAATAAAACCCAAAATGAGTCGATAAGAACGTCCTCGGAGCCAGCGGATTAGGATGTTTCAGGAACGGCCCCTATGGGACATTCCAAGGATTTCTAATTTAGGGACGGGACCTACCGACCTAAATTGGACCTAAGTCGGACGTTCCACGAGCCAAGTATGGTATGCTAATAGGAGGATTGGGGATTCATAGTATACCCTGATTCGGAATATCGCAGGAAATGCAAGGCGTGTAGTTACAAACCTAACGGGTCCCAAGATATAGGCCACCTAAGTCGTTATAATAGGGTGTCGGTACTACTCGAATATCTGCTTTAAGCCTTAATGGGCACACAACGGGTCCCAAGATATTGACCGTCTAAGTCAGTATGTTCGAGTGTGGGTCCTAATGAGTCATCTGCTCTACTTGAAAAGTGTTTTCTGTGAATATCACTGAATTTATGAAAAACTATGTATCTTGATATCCTGAACACATATCTCAGCCGGCACAAGCCCTAAAACTCAACGGGTCCCAAAATATAAGCTGCCCAGCTAGATGTCTGTTCTACTCAGACATCTGCTCTACTTGGATACGTGGTTTCGGTTAATTTGACTGAATTTGTGATATGCCGCGTGTTTTGGAGTCCTGAATAAATGTATCGATAGAGCCCAAACCTCAAAGGTTGTCAAGAAAGCAAGTCAGTATAGGGGGTACTGCTTGTATTCAGACCAGTAGTCATGATAATCCTTTTTCAAATCAGTGGTTGCATTTTTTTTTGTTTTTCATTGCATAATTTCAGTAGCCGCAATCAACTTTCAATTCTCTTATTTGAGCACAATTGCCATTGATGTGTCTATTATCGGCATCCTGGACATATTGCAGAAGCATTGTATTGGGGTACTTTATGTGATGTTGATGCCGAGCCCATAACACATCTTCATCTTTATTTTCCATCACATCGCTTTCATGACGTACTCAAAAACATCCATCCATAACTGATAGTGTTGTCGGGCGGTCAAAACGATGCAGTTCGGTAAAATTACAATCGCACGGTTATTTTTCATGACAGATGGTGTGTCTGTAGCGAATTAACGGATATAGCCCGGTGAAATAAACGTTGCAGGCTTAATTGGCTCGTTTCTCAATTGGAAGTAATCAGTGCCTTCGCGTGGACTATTGGATGTAGCCTGCTTAAAATAATCTCGCAAATTGTTTTGGTAAATGCCTCGAAGGGGCATGTTGATGCCGTCGGGCGGATATCGGATATAAGCCGGTGAAATTATCTTCGCAACTGTATTTTTCATATGTCAGGACGGAGGTCGACGATGCTGTCAGGTATATTAACGGATACAGTCAAGTAACATTGATTTCGCAAAGCCTCGAGTGGGAGTAGTCGATATTGTCGGTAGAATTAACGCAGGTCTACGTACAGGGTGGCCGATATGTAACTGACTGGCCTGTATCTTGAATATTTGTGAAATGAAATATAACACGTTCATTTTTTTCATCTTAATCTTTTATTGAAACTTAGAAATTATGTATGAAAAATAATATCAGACAAATGTCCGCCTAGAGAAGCCGCGCAAACCTGAGCCCTCTTGATTACATTTTCCATCACTTTGGTAGGTTTCGGGACAAATATTTTCAATCGCTTCCATAAGAGATTGTTCTTCAGCTGCTCTACAGTATTTGGTTTGTTGGCATAAGCTCTATTTTCCAAAAAACCTCACAAAAAAAGTCAGAAGCCGTTGAATCCGGTGACCTTGGTGGCCAGTTGATATCACCAAATCGAGAAATTAGACGTCCCGGAAATATTGTTCGCAAAAATTTTTCCCTAGCTGTGTGACAAGTTGCTCCGTCCTGCTGGAACCACATGCTTTCTAGGTTAAATTGTTGGACATAAGCAGCCAGAAAGTTTTGCACCATACCACGGTAGCGCTCGCCAGTGACAGTAAGAGAATTACGTGCGGCGTCTTTAAAGAAGTAGGGTTCAATGACACATCCATACCAAACAC